CCGTTCGCCACAATGATGCCTAAGTATCGTGCTTCATCTGCACGTCGCATGTCTAAATGCCCAACAGACCTTAGCACCGGAATCCCCTCATTTCGCGAAGTCAACAACTGGCATTTTTTTGGCGTTTAAACGCAGATCCCATTTAACCGACCAATCTGTTACAGTGCGAAAATCCTTAGACAACGTGTCTCGACTACCCCCTACTGACGATCTTCAGATCATCAGCAAAAATATAACAGGCATAATGGAATAGTGGAGCAGTCGTTGATAAACATGATAAACAATAGTGGTCCTAAACAGAACCTTGGTGAACAACACTGTGAACAATGCGGACGCTTCACTTAGCTTCTCCGACCCTAACGCGAAAGGTTTTGCCACAGAAACTCTGCAATACAAGTCAACAGTTGAGGATGCAGCCCAAAGCAATTCCAGTTACGCAAGTAAGAATAAGTGGTTAACCGAGTCGAAGACCTTGCTAACATCGAGCTAACAAACTTCACCTGAAATTCCATCATTAAGTTATTTAATCTAAGAAATACAAAAGATTAGTAAGGCATGATTTTTTTCTTAAAAAAACCATGATTTTCAGCTCCAATTAAGTTGTGATCAACTGAGTGCTCACGAATTCGTTTCCGAATAAGTTTTTCCAAACGTTTAAGTAAAACGCTGGTTAGACTTATACGCCTGTAGTTACGGTTTTAGTACCTACTTTATATATGGCTACAACCGTTGCCTCCTTCCACACGTGTGGTAGCCTACCTTCACGTAGTGACCTATTGGATCTTGACCTACGTGCTTTTACAGTATGATCCACAACAGGCTTTTCAATTGGCTTTTGCGTAGACTCAATTATCTTGCTCTTTCTCCCGTTAGTTTGTTTATCGTTACACACATTTGTACGACCGTACTTTGCACCACCCAACATACTCTTACTCTGGGCTGCAGAAGTTTAGTCCACTCCCGACAGATGGCTTGGGCTGCCTGCATTCTGCCGATGAGAACACTGCGCCCATTTATTCATTTTTTTACCGTCAACGACGGAGTTAAATCATGTGATAGCACCACGCGTTCAACAGACATGCAGACCGTGATCTTTCCTTGCAGTTATAGGTTTAGTAACCAAATTAGCATCAGTACCTCCAATTGGACTTATTTGTGCGGGTTGCTATGAGTTTCTTTGTCCCTTTTCCCCCCGTTTAACCTCCCTTCCACCCACGATCCCAATTTTTACGCATAATATCTTATTTTGCGGCACAATAGCCGGAACGATGTCCATCTGTTGCTGGTGTCACAGCCGGCATGTTTTCTCTTTTTTCTTTTCTATTGCGACAATTGCTGATGTGTTTTCCACCTGCAGCTAACGTGTGCAATGATGATGATTTGCAGGCGTTTACGCTTCGAATTAAGCGTGTCTGGTGCTTCTTGATACCTGTCATTGGTGTGACTCATCATTGATACAGCCTTATTTAATAGTATCTCACGGTGTATAGACTTTTTGACCTTTAACAAGCTAGGCCTAGCAAATCCCTTCTGCCACAATACTCCTGCTTCCCTCGAATTGCCAACGCGATGTATCCTTTTGATACCGACATGCAACGGAAGACCGGCTATTCGAAGGATATTACCGTCTTTGGTTTAAATCACATCAGGTCTTAGCTTCCCGTATCGCCAACTCCTCTCTATTGTGGATAAGAACCTATCTTTGTCTGCCCATAGCAAGTTTGTCATATACTGTTATGGTGTTTTATACACTGCATAGTGAGAAATAGTCTCCATCATTTTGTCCATTCTCGATACTGGATAGGCATCAAGAGGGGTGAAACGATTGACGATTTTTTTCTGTAAACGACACCGTGATTTTGAATCTGCCGACAATGACTGCATTATTCGCGTTTCTGGTGACACTGAGACTGACTTTAGATTTTTATAATTTACATATCACCTTCAACAAACATGCTGAAGACAGTCTACTTGGTTTGGTACAAATGAACAGCCTCTGAATAAGTGATCGCTGCACTATTTCCCATAGTTACATTGCCGCGTTTTGCATTGGGCTCCGACTTCCTCAATTTTTGACGTTACTTGAACCCTTCTGGCTTGTTTTTATTTGTATTCGGCGCTGAGTCATCTCATGCGGTTGACGTTGTTTCTCCTGTTGCACAACCCAATTCTCTTTGTTCCCACTCTTCCTAGTCATCGTCAAAGGACATCTGCTGGTTACGAGCATCGTAGCATTCAGGATTTTCACGACAGTGTAAATCTCCAGGTATGCTTAACTGTGCTGTCGCAGTGAAACTAGACCTTGACATATTGTGATGATCTACGTGTGTTAACGATACATTAAGCTATGCTGAGTGGTACTTTTAGCATCCATGACAAATTGGCCAATGGTTAGAGGCCGAAGAAACTCGGTCTCTTGATTCCCTAGGTTGAGGGATGGATTAAGAATAATCCTCTTGCTCTTTAAACGATCTCCCTGTAGACGACTACCAAACACTGCTTTGCTTTTTACTAATTGATTACTGATTACCGGTTGGAAGCAGCAAGAAGAGTTTTATCTGTAGCTGCATCTAATGTCACAGGGACAAAGACCCGTTACGTTGTGATGCGCCCGGTATATTTTATATCGGCAAAGTGTTTGTCCAGGAATTTTTTAAATTCTGACACCAACTTTGCCTCAACTACGTGCTACAGAAAGTCGTTCCATACCTTCACCCCTGTGTTCGAAAGAGTTCGTAAGTGACCCGATTCAAATACGGTACAACAGACTTGCACCACCGGTGTCTTCGTGTGCTGATTGGTGCGCGCAGATGAAGCAGTGGCCTAAACATGGAGTAATGTCCCAGATATATTCTCCGGTACGTTATGATGTGGTCAACCCGCAGTCGGCGATAAGCTAGGTTGTAAGGCCATAGTTTCTTACACAGGTCTTCGCTCGGCACACCTCGTAAATTGGGAATCAGCATGGTGACTACACGTTGTACTCGCTCAATCTTTTATACCTCGTTTCGGGAGATAGGACAATACGCGGGAGAGCCATACTCTAGCATTAGTTGTATTATTGAGACAAAAAGCCGAGTGGCAATCTCTTTGGACCAAATGTTGAAGCTGCGCCTGAGCCCCCAAAACAAACGAAGACTGTTTTGGTAAAGCCTATTTATGTTGTCCATGGACTTTATCTCGTAACGTGAGAGCACACCGAGGTCTCGCACGAAATGCGCGGGATGTAGCGGTTGACCGGCCACCGTATAGGTCCGACTGTGCTCACACTTACCCAGTCTCGTGAATTGCGACTTGACCGGGTTGATCGGAAGGTTGACCCCTGCAGACGTGGAGATGCGGTCGAGGTCCTGCTGAAACAGGTCACAGTTCTTTGGTGTGCGGATTACTCTCTAACACCTTCAAGTCACCTGCGAACAACGCACAAGGTGATTGGAGTAGCTGAGGCACATTGTTTACATGGATGCGAAACAAAATGGGCCCCAGTACAGTGCCTTGGAACACGTAACCTTTAGTAAGTTTTTGAGCCAGCAGCTTTGGTTGAGATCGCAAATCGTTCTTCTACCTTGGTCATGTCAACCTGATACAACGAAAATCTTAATCCATTTGTTGATGCTCTAGCTGTAGCATTGGCTACTCAACAACACAATGGGTCCTAACGTTTAGCGAATATGTAAACTGATCTCGATATTGGTTCCACAAAGCCCGTAAGTTTCGACTCCGTACGATCCGCGGATCTCAGTGGTCTGGTGATCCAGGCGTCGGCCGTCAACCACTACATCTAGAATTCCAGTCCCATCTCCCGATGTATACCTATCTACGGAAACGACTGTATATCAGCCTGTCGCTGTAAGGTAAGGTGTGTAGTGCTGCGGTAAGACCAGCTTCACTGTATGGATCAGAGACCCGGCTTATTCGTGGCGAAGACATTAAACGCTTGTCCGTGTTTGACCACCGGCGCTCGCGGAGTATTGCTCATATCTGGTGGGAACACCGGGTGATCAATGTTGAGGTACCTCGCTTGGTTTTAGACAGGAAGCCTTCTGGTGCCTCACTTGTTGGCTAGACGATGTCCTTTGTATATCCGTTAATCGACTTACTCGGTATGCATTATACACCGTAGCTTACCAAGTTGGGCGCATCCCCTAGGTGACCAGTCGTTGACGTGGCATAGAGGCATGAAGCAATTGACTGAAATACTTGGACATGCTGGTTTGTGCCGTTTTCTTGAATGGGGGCCTCAGGATAGTCCGCCCCAATGGTTGGAGACTGTCAGACATGACGCATTAACACAGTCAGTGGCGTTCCTGTACTCGGTTTTTTGCACCTGGTTGTTACTTCTCATTCTGTTCTTATTTTTCTTACGAGCCTACTTGCCTCCGTTTCGTTTGCATTCAACCCGACTTTCTCGTTATTTTTTGAGTCGTAGAAACTGGGTCTACCGCACTTCGGTGCTCGGATCGTAGTTGTCCAGCTGAATAGAACTGAAGAGTCCAAAGAAGGACGAAAACGATTGTGAGATGCTTCATCAGCGAACGGAATGGTCGGGCTCGACTTCACAATAAACAGTGTTCCTAATTGAGATTTCTTTTCGGAGTCCGAACACACAGCTGGTGCTCAAAAATTCAACATTCGATTACTATGCCATTCTAGTACTTATTTTGTTCAACCTAGTTGCTCTTGGGTGTTTGCGCTTTCGATTTTTTCAATGGACATGGAAGATAATTAGTCATATTGCTTGGATGTGAATAAAACTAGGTAAAGAGTGCGTGAACTGGATTTAACTATTTTTTTCGATGGCATTTAGCTGTCGGGAATAAATGCGGCTGGTGTTTATACATCTGAGTGCATGTTTCCTATGCGTACAGTTCTCCTCTCTCTGTTTGCCTTACAACTTGTCATCCACCGTATAGGCAGTCACATTACTATTAACTGCTTTATTCTTTGATTCGCACCAGATTTTACTCCCCAGTACAACCTTACTAATGTACTACTTTTCAGCCAACAAAATACTCCTTACGATGACTTGTGAAGAGCCGGTCCCGGAGTTAGGGAAGTATGTTTCCGCTATACCTGACTATTGTTTTCATCAGAAATGTGGATACTGAGGAATTGCTGTTCCAATGTAAGTCGTTAATGTGAACGTGACATGGTAGTTAAAATTGAAATGCCCAAAGAACAAACAGATGCTGAGAAGGCGCTCAAAAGGGAGTTGGCTTCTCTGGGAAAAATGGTTTAGTATTTGGTCCTCTCATGAATCTTTGTCATCCAGAGGCGTTTATTAACGGAAATCAGTTTAATGCGCAGGGAGGAGAAACCGCGCGGTAGATTTAATCTCTTTTGTCCCTTTCATACATCTTGTGGTGCGCAGCTATTTCCAAAACCGGTGAACAGGCTAAAGAGGAGGCGATGGAATTGCTACGCTCGGGTGCGATACAAATTTCCGATAAGAAAGATCGCCATACGTTCAAACGCAAATCTAAAGTAATCAGCTAATCGTAACAACTTCTCATGTTATCCATTACAGGATGCTGACGATGAGGATACCCTGGCACGAACCGTAAGCTTTGTGTCGCCTTTTCATACCTTTCTACTAGCCTATTAAAGTCGTTTCTACACTGGAGAAGACCCCGACGTATTCCAACTTCCTTAAGGGACCCAAAATATTACCGCATTATTCTCATCCGCGCGAATCCGATAGTGGGGGCGGTGATGCACGATCTCTTTCCTCACCGGAATTACAGTCAACCCCAACGACTGGTCATTCATCCTTAGAAGTTGCCGCTTCAAAGCGGAAACAACAGCTGCTTTCTTTGTGTGAGGAAGACGTAGAAGAGGAGCATCGACGAGAAGAAAATATTGCTGAGCTGGATGTTTCCCGTAATAATCACCAAGTAACGTCAGTGCCGTATTGAACTATGTGACCTTCATTGTACAGGGTTTGGAGCCGCGCAACCTCACATGTGATGATGTTCCTCGCGTTTCAACCCCTTTCTCCTCACGGTCTACTGAGACCACACTGTATGTGGCCTACCACAAGGTGACAACAGAATTTATCCACGAAGTGTTTGACTCTCTCGGCACGATTCTACGAATCAGGATCGGCGAACATCAGAAGCAAGTGTTTACATTTTACTTCTTATCTTGAGGGGAACCTTTTCTCTCTCCGTTATCTTATTCTTGTGTGGTGGGAAAATCCAACATTCATTCAGCAACTTAAATGGTATATCTCAGTTATTCGAAATCAACTTTGCTTTCTTTGGCTTTACCACGTTAACAGCTTAAGTTCCATAACGGAACCGTGCGTTGCTACCATCCATGTTGCTATAACGCCAATTTTTATGTTCTTTGATGCCAAACTTCGAATCACAGCTGCCTTTCGTCCCATCTAATGCTACTGAAATTGGCTCCAGGGATGGTTACACGAATATGAGATACTGACGTGGAGGAGCTGTTTGGATAGCTGTCACACATTTGGCAAAACACTGGGTAACCCTTTCATTCATTCAGGACGCATCGGCAGTGCACATTCACTTTTCAGATAAAACGTAAACCTAAAATCCACAAGTATCCGACTAGTTGTCAGACATAAGCTATATAGCTTAACCACAATCCGGATAAGCACCAGACTTGTTTCGCCCGATTGGAGCTCGTCAGTGGTGCGCATTCCCTCAGTCCCCTACTGAGGATCGCATCCTTGACAGCTAGAGGCTGGCGCCAACTAGCCATCAGCTTAAGCCACTGAGCCATGGGAGACGGCAGCTGGGTCACACAAAATTACAACTGAAGTCCTCCTGCACATAAGTAATATAAAATCGAACCTCCTATTTTCAACTGCTGTAGATAGAGTGCCTAGTGAGAGCAAAGCGTTACCTAGACACTAGGGACTATCATCTACAAGGGCAGTAAGCTTCATGGCAGTGGAAGATTAGTACCACTGTATCTCAGTTAGCTTGCAAATTACGTAGCCCAGCTGCCGTGCCCCCTAGTTCAGGGGTTTAAACTGCTGGCTGATTGGCATCAGCCTCTAGCGGTCTTGGGTTTGATCTCTAATAGGGGAGCGAGGGAATGCGCATCACTGACGAGTCTTAATAAGGCGAAACGGGTCTGGTGCTTCTACGGATTGTGGTTGAGCTATGTAGCTTGTAAATTGCTGGGAGGAATACATCTAAACATTACAACTCAAATCCTCCTACTCATAGGTAGTCAGACAATTGACTACTCGGAAAGTATAGTGGTGTTTCTGAGGCCAGCCCTGTTTCCTAATAGTATCTATGCGACTAATGAGGGTTTGAGCACGATGCGTTCGCGATTAGTTACTTGGTCAGACTGATTACCGCCACTTGCCTTACTCGAGTGCTCTTAATCGCTGCTCGAATTAGGAGGGCCTCGGGATCTAGTCTCACCAACTAGGGAAAATGTTCACTTATTGGGCGTTCTGGAGATTAAGCGATTGTGAAATTCTCTAACGTAGGTCCAGGAGCCATCTGGTCATGTTTAACTGTGACGAATCGCCTTTGCAATTAATCCTGGACGCCAGACACCTGCCGTCAGAAGGCAAGAAGAGAAAGGTATCGTCAGAACGCACGAACACGGTACATTCACTTCGCTGGCGCTCAATCACCACTAGTCGCACGTGAGCTGATGCTGCGTGGATCGCCCAGTCCCTACGTAGGCTCGAACCCGCGCCTTCGGATTACAAAGTAGACTTGTGATCCTTAAAGACCGTCTGATACCGCATACTGTTGATAGCAGAGGCGCTCGCCATTCGACTCAAAAACCCGGACTTGTATGTGCATAAGAACTTTGTTCATGCCATCGGTATGCTTTGGACCCATTCCAGCACGCCAAACTATGTCGATCAACACCTTTACCCCGACTCCTCATTGTCTGAGTAATCACGTAGCCTTATTGATTAGATATGTCGGCACATTCGTTCACCTACTTACATTTCATTTATATTTTCTTGTCTTCGGTTGTGGTCGCAATAGCGTGGTGATGAACCCCAAAAAACGCGCTTGTTGGCTGCATCTTTCTGGAGTTTTTTCTGGTAAACTTTTCTCGATTAATATAGATCTTTCTGATGCTACTCCTTTAAATATACTCAATTTGGAGAATAGTGAAACTACTCTGAAGTTCTTTGTGCTTTCCACGTCAGAGTAACCGGTGCCCGTGATTTCATCACGAGGCTTAACACTTTGGACTGATTTGAGGGACCTATGGCGTTGCAATTGCTTCAGTTCCCTATATGTATAAGGCTTTCTTGCAAGCTTCTCTCGAAGTACCCCTCGACCAGTGGAGTACATCGGTATTGTCCTACTTTCTCTTTTCTTGACCATTGTATGAAGCGATCACCATAGACCATGCACCATCCGCTCAGGTGTTCACGCTGATTCTCATTTGCTAGTTTGATCCCTAGCGCCGCCTTCAGACAGAGCGGTGGCGTAAGACGGTGATACGTCAACAGGTGTCAACTACCGAACAGTCATTAGTTTATTTTTTCCTCTGTCCTGATAATTGTGCCACCTCTGGTACTCAAGACGCCCAAATGGCTAAAGCGCATACGACTTTCCGGTAGCGCCGTTATTCATGAAATTAGCGTACCATTATCTCGTCGATTAGGAGTGGAGCTCAAACCATTGCGATGTGCCTTCTTTTACTACGCGTATCAGATTACTCAAACTCGTTCCTTGGTGTAATTGATATGCAGTTAATATTCTACTCGTTGGTATCACAATTCTTACTTGTTATGTCTTCTGATTGAGAAACCCGAAAACCGACCAGTTGATATTTGGCGCCAAGCCCCCTCGTGCTACTTTAGACGGTCTCCTGAACTTCAATTGCCTTTGCGAAGTAAACCATCGACGATACTGTTGCGGACCCGTCAAAAGTCCCCGCATAAACACACCAGAAACTCCGGCAAAATGGCTGTGGAAAGCGAGGTCCAATTCCTTCTCACAACGCAGCAGCGTTCAGCCACTCCGAGACGCGGCCCAACTGCGCACCTTTTGACAATGGTCTTTTACAAACTACCACCTCGTCGTGGTAGCAATTTTCCCTAACTTACTAACCCATTGCATTGGCTGTGATTCGCCCTTTGTTGGTCATAAAAGAGCCTTCAGAGAACAACTAGCCTTTCATTCTCTTCGCCTTAGTTGGGATTCGGTCGGTCACGTGATTTTGTGTGCGTCGATAGCCGGGCAGCGTTCGCGTCTAAGTCGCTAGTGCGCGTCTTCTGTAACCCACTCTCGTGTGCGTCCGTTCCGAGGGCTCAACGTCTACCCGAATACGTGCGGCTAGGATCGTTCTCACGCTCGCTCAATTTCCGTTTCACCAGCGCTAATGCCATCGGGTCATCGCAAATCCGTTCGATTGGCCAGTGTTCCAAGCCGTTACCGTAGGCGTGCCCCAACCGTGCCAGTGACAATCTTATCAGGCTTTCCCTCAATTGTAACACATTCTTGTGTAATATTTCGAATGCCTACCCCCTGGCTACTTCGGCTGTCTCTGCTTCCCCTTGTTTGACCTCGGGCAGAGCCCCATACTTTTTCTCGGGAAGTCCGTTGCTAGGTATAAGAATGGGATACCGTTTATTTCTATCTGACATCGCTTCCAACATCTGATTAACCACCGCAAACGCGAAGCGTCGATGGGGGAAGTTTACTGATTCTAGGTACTTGTTTCTCCTCACTGTTATCCGCGTACAACGGTTTGCGATTGTGTTAGCGACGCATCATTACAAAGTATAATCTTACTTTTAGTATTTCTTTCCTTGGAGTTAGTTTGTTTTACTTGGCCGAGATAACTTTCACTCTTCCCAAGTGGATAATTACCTAATACTTTCAGAAATAACTCGTAGGGTTTGTTGTGGATATCCCCACCACGATGGAGGCGTTAGCCGATACTTATGAGCCTTTTCTATGCCAAGGCTGGCCATTTGTGGGTGTTAGTGCTCTTATGATCATACTCCAATGGTCATCCAAGTGGAGCGGTTTGTGTTTTATCAACCTGGTACTTGCGTTACGCACGCGAAGACCCATGGTGCGCTGAGGCTTGTGGTGTCAAGGTATCTTCAGCTCGTCGACCCGCCGCTGCTAATGTTGTGCCCTGGGCTCATGTCATGGACGCCTCCCGGTGAGATATAAAGTATAATATGTCAGCTGTACGCCGTAACGGCACTTCGCTGCCGCGCGACCACCACCATCGGCCTGAGTATATCGCTAGGACGCCCACTCCTACGCGGATTCAAACCGGTGACCTTGTGGTTGCAAACCGGGTGCCCAGACCACTCGGTCATCGGCCGACACCTCCCTGTGGCGACCGCTGAGTGAGAGTTGGTTTGCACCCTTTTTCTATCTAAGATCCACGACACAATTCCGCATGAGTCAGTTCACTGACTCATGGTGCACGGCCCGTTGCCTTTCGGGTTTACATTTAATCGAAGGATTTGTTTAGGGACCCTAGTCCTTCTCCTGTCAGGTGTGGGCACATCGAATGCCTCCGTGAAGAATGCTCAACGTCGGGTGCTGGAACTTGCGCATCCTACTCGACCGGAATACGAGTGGTCGTCACGAGTGACTTACTGCATTGGTCGCGGTGGAACTCGCGCGCTACGGGGTTGGTATTGCCGCACTCAGCGAGACTGCTCGCTGACCAAGGGAAGCTGCATGAGGCTGGTGTCGGTTACACGTTATGCTGGGTGGGGAACCCCACCACAGCACCACCTGAACATGGAGTCATATTTGCACTATCCGATCGCTTAAATGGTCAGCTGTTGCGCGAACTCACTGGCATCAGCGCACGACTGATGACTCACCGTCTGCGTTTTGAAAGAGGCAAGTTTGCCACTTTTATTAGCACGTATAGTCCCACTGTGTGTTATTCTGATGACACGAGGATCAGTTTTACATTTAGTTGTCCGTGATACGGTCTGTGCTGAGGAGCGACCGGCTATTCCTACTGGGTACTTTCAGTGCGCGCTTTGGGCGTGATGCATTGGTGTGGACAGATGTCATCGGTCCACATGGCGTTGGTTCAGCAGATGCGAACGGTGACCGGCTGCTCTCACTGTGTGCCACTCACGGTATGATGATCAGGAACACTCGGTTTGCACTGAG